CTTTCTTCCTGGTGAGCGCATATGCCCTATGGCAAATTAATAATAAGTAAAGTAAATAGTTCTTCAGGGAAAAAAAAAAAAAAGGAAGATGCTAAAACCATTCTACCTTTGGATGAGCCACAGGTTGTCCTGCACTGCCACCTGCCCACCCTGAACCACTGTGGAGCCAGAGAGGCCAAGGCCTCAGTGCCATTTATCACTCACACACTATTACTTCCCAAACCCTTCTTTCCCTCGGTAACAGTCAAGGAGACAAACGACAAGCCATGGGTGCAGCCTCCGCTGTGTGCCACCGAGTGTGTGCAATGAAGCAGGCAGCGTGTGTCTGCCCAACACGGCCCAAACTTCACTCAAGACCTGCCTGCCCCTGGAGGGACCCCGGCACTGGGCACGGCCCAATTGACTCAGCGTGGACTCCGTTTTTTTTCCTACTTACCAAGAGCCCCCGGGGACCAAAGAACGGTGACGGCCACTTGGTCGTGGCAAGCATACTGGCTGATGGTGATGTTCTGGGCATCAGCAATCACGTGCTTCCCCACTGGATTCAAGTACGTGGTACAGTCTGGAGTTGGGAGAAGAACGTAACATCTTGTTTTCAAAATCATTTTGTCAAATTATACAGAGCATGTCTGAAGGTGTCCGGTTCCATTCTCATTTTTTCTTTCTTTCTTTTTTTTTTTTTTTTGGGGGGGGGGAGGTTTTTGCTATAGAGTGCATGCACTCACCAGAAAGACAGAGAAAGCAAGAAATCACCCCCCAGGGGGGATGGCCACGCGACAATCCTTTTTCCTCCATTCTCCTCTCGGGATCGTGGGCACGCACACACATGCATCCAGCATGAGTTTAAATCTTGTTGGGTCCTTACATGGAATGACCACTTCTCCTTTATCCACGATGTTCTTTATCTTTAAATGGTAAGATAATATTATTTTCGAGTCCAGGACTCGAACCACGGTCGACTACATGGGAGTCCAGCAACATAGCCATTACGCCATCTGCTCCTCCCGTCCAAATCTATTCTGTTTAGAGTAGTGTGCCTCCAAAGCCCAAATACAACATCAAGGGTTGACTCCAAGGCCCAGCTGTGGTGGTGCAGGCATCAGGACACTGGGTGATACTGGACCCAAACAGGAAGGCCCTGGGTTCAGTTCTCAGGTCAACCTAGACAAGCTGGCTATGCCCATGATGCTGGCTGGCTGGAAGGATGGAGATGGGTGAACTGCAGCATGACCACGCCCCGTCAGACATCAATCAATCAATCTTTCCCTCTCCTACTTCCTCTCATGAAAGAAAGGAAACTTCAAATAACGTTGACCTCTGGGCCAACCAGGTAGCTTAGCAGTTATCCAGATCCCACACGGCTGACTGCAGCTTGAATCCTAGCCCAGTGGCTTGAGAAACACCCAGGCACCACAACGGAATGGAGGAAATGGGATTGCAGCATGGCCACACCCCATTGGGTGCTGCTTTCTCTGTCTCTCTGTGGTGAGGGCATGCACCTTCTGGCAACTTAAAGAGAAAAAAAAAGTTGACTACAATTTGGGAAACTGTAAAATGCTGCAGGGATTTATTAACAGCTCCACCACACCTGTCTACTCACCCGAGTTAAATTCTGGAACAGTGCAAGCTAAGCTAGGAAGACCATACGTAGTGTGCAGTGTGTGTGTGTGTGTGTGTGTGTGTGTGTCTGTATCTGGCATAACATTTTTTTGGTTTTACTTTTATGACATTTTACCTAAATTAATATTACTTCCATCAATTCAACCAGTTTTCAGCATTAAAAAGTGATCTGAAGAGAACAACGGTTAAATAATCTGGATTTGGGGCCAGCTGGTGATGTGGTGGTTAAGGTGCCTGAATCCCACGTGGCCGACTGAGTGGTTCACATCCCAGACCTGGCAGCTTGAAAAACACACATGGTGCATGTGAATGCATGCCCAAGACTCCAAGAGGAGAATGCTGACAGGACTAGGGTGTAGTCATTCCCTCTAGGTGGTGATTTCTCACTTTCTCTCTTTCTCTCTGTCTCTCTCCAGCCAACACACATGCCCAAAAGCAAAAACTTAAAAAAAAAAAAAAAAAAAGCCTGTTTTTTTTTTTTTTTGGTTTTTTTCTCAAAGAAAGGCAAAGGGCAAGGTGACTGGGGGGAAAAAACTAGCCTGCAAATGTGAACCCTTGAGACCGATTCATAGCAGGACAGTTAGACACCCCAGATAGTGCGTGCACAAGGGACTAGGTTAGTGACTGGCAAGGGTGTTAACCGGCATCCTCACATGCCAAAATAACATGTACCATAGAACATAACTCGGGCCAGCAGGTGGCATAGTGGTTTAAGGCACTAGACTCCCACGTGGTTGACTGCAGCTCAAATCCCAAACCCAGTGGCTTGAAACTTACACCAGCCTGTGTGTGTGTGTGTGTGTGTGCGTGCCCAAAATCCCTAGAGGAGAATGAAGGAGAAGGGACTGCGGCATGGCCATACCCCCGGGCAGTGACTTCTCACTTCCTGTCTCTCTAATGAGCACATGTCCCCTATAGCGAAAACATGTTTAAAAAAAAAAAAAAAAAGAAAATAACTCACTGCCACCTTCCAATGTCGCCGTGACCAGGCAAACAGCTGAGCCACCTGAGATTGCTAAATACACCATCAAACCTCCCAGTTTCCTGACATGCTGCTAGAAGCTTCCCATCAAGAATCAGTCTGGGACTTTAGAGAATGGCTCCTTCCAGGGGCCGGCCACAGCAGACAAGGAGTCCTAGTCCTTGGGCTGCCTCGGCTCCACTTCTTTCTCCAGGGTTAACCTCTAATGCCGCGCCAGTAGCTGCTGCAAACAGTCTACAGTCCCACAGAACGCCCGAACCTGCCCTTCACTCTCCGAGGCCGGGTGCTCTCAGAGGTGAAGTATTCTGGGCCTGCAGAGAAGCTCGGCGGGTCTCCATTTCCCCCTGTAGTCAGGGTCTCACTGCCATGATCCTCCTGCCTCAGCTTCCCCAGGAGCTGGGAGCAGGGCCGGGATGTGTGCCACTGCTCTGGCCTCTGAGGGGGCCAAGAACCGAACCTCGGCCCCGGCCTGCCGAGCAGCAGCATCTGGCACACGGTTCTTCAGTCAGGCCCATATTTCCCATTTTTATGACTAAATTGTTCACAGGAGACATTTGAAAACCACAAAAGAATATACAGGAAAAAAATGTAGAAGTCATGCATACCCTCTTACCACATAGAGGTAACTGCTCTTAACATCCTAATGGAAACGCTCCAAGGCCTTAACATGCATGGAATATCCCTCGACTTTACTTCTTATTAGAGTATAAAGCACGTACCCTCTGATGGACCGCCCTCCTCCACACTGCCTCATGTCCTCCTCCACTGCCAAACTACTGGGTCATGAGAAAACTTACGCCGCAGTTTAACACAGAAAAACATGAAAAAATGGGACCAGCAGTTGGCATAATGTCTATGTCGCTAGACTCCCATATAGTTGACCACAGTTCAAGTCCTAGACCCGGTGGCTTAAACTCATGCCGGGCACATGTGTGTGTGCCCAAGATCCGAGAGGAAAATGGAGAAGGGATTGAGGCGTGGCCATCCCCCCTGGGGTGATTTCTTGCTTTCTGTGTCTGTCTTTCTGGCAAGCGCACATGTCCTAATAGCAAAAACCTCTCCTCGCCCTCCCCCCCCAAAAAAAGAAAGAAAAAATACGCATGACATGACTTTTCTGGTGACCCAATACATTAGGCTCACTCCATTCTCTAAACTTCATCTGCTGCAGAAACAAAAACACATATATTTCCACGTTACCTCTTCTGAAAGGATGTTAATAATTAACGGAAGCAGGGTCAGGCCAGGCCACGGAGTGGTGGTTAAGGCAGCCAGATCCCACATAGCTGACCTTGTAGTTCAAGTCCCAGACCCAACAGCTTGAAAAAATACATCAGGGGCATGTGTGTGCATGCCCAAAATCTCATGGCAGGGAGATAAGGAGAAAGGATTGTAGCCGACCACTCCCCCCGATTCCCCCCCACGGCGAGTGCTTTCTCACTTCCCTTCTCTCTCTCTTCCCCTCCCTCAGCCCCTCCCTCTCCTCTCCATGTACGCGCATGTGCATACACCCTCTGTATTTTTTTTTTTTTCCAAAGAAAAACCCAGGCCAGGTGGTGATGCAGCAGTAACATACACCACCAGACCATGTGGGAAGGTCCTCGGTTTGCATCCCAAGACCTTCCTTGTGTGTAAGTCCTCACTGGTTAACTGAAAATACACAAACCAGTAATGTTCCCTGTGAAGCTGTACACACACTGCACATTCTCGGGATTCAGGCTGCCTAAGGCTGGGGGTGGAATCCAGTGGGAAGACCCTGTTGGGGATGCTTGTCTTTCTCTCAGAGAAGAAATTTTAAAATTAATAAAATAATAATAAAGTAAGGGTTTTTTTTGTTTGTTTGTTTGTTTGTTTTGAGAGGTTTTCACGTAGGGTGCATGCAATCGCGAGAAAGACAGAGACAGAAAGACAGAAAGTGAGAAATCACCCCCCCAGGGGGGATGGCCTTGCCGCAATCTCTTCTCCTCCATTCTCCTCTCGGGATCTTGGGCACACATGCGCCCAGCATGAGTTTAAGCTACCGGGTCCAGGACTCGAACCGCAGTCGGCTACATGGGAGTTCAGCGACACAGCCATTACACTAACCGCATCTGGCTTAACATTACATTGCACAAATGAGGGAACTGCAGTTGCGAGGGATCAGTTAAATGGCTTAGAATCCTACCATGAATCTGCCCAGGGTCTGCGCAGAGAGAAGCTTCTAACGGCTCACTAAGGGTGAGAGAGAGACAGAGAGAACGAGATCCAGCACCCCAGCAGGTGTAATGCCCTAACCCACCCCCACCTTCACCCAGCAGCTCTCCAGATGCAAACAGCAGCCTTCCAATGTGGGTCGCCCTCACCGAGCACTGTGTTTTGCCCCCTGCCACCCCTGGACCCCTGGACCATATTCTCACTGTGGGTGAAACTCCTGGTGGCAGTGCTCACACAGAATCTGGGTGTGTGGGGGAAATATTTACTACAGCTGAAGGGAGCTGGGAGGGTCTTTTCTGTAGCACAGACACTGAATAAACTGTCCTGTGCACCTGAGTTCTGACACATCACATGAGGTTGGGTGGGGAGTTTTCTACCTGGTGCTTGAAAAATTTTGAATTTTGGAACACTTTGGATTTTCAGATTAGGGATACTCAACCTGTACTCTGAATCAGAGGTGTGTTTGACCTGCAAAAATTCTGGCTGACACTAGCTTCCCAATTTTAAAAAAAAGACAAGATTATATCATATTTGTAAAATTCAAATGTTTCCATTTACTGCAGTCTATGATAAAAAAAGAAACCTTTGCTGGGACCAGCAGTTGTTGTAATGGCTATGTCCCTGGACTCCCAGGTAGTTGACCGCGGTTCAAATACCAGACCTGGTGTCTTAAACTCATGCTGGGCGTGTGTGCATGTGTGCCCAAGATCCCGAGAGGAGAATGGATTGCAGCATGGCCATCCCCCCCTGGGGGGATGATTTCTCCCTTTCTGTCTCTCTCTGTCTTTATGGCGAGCGCACACGCCCTACAGCAAAAACCTCTCCCCCCCAAAAAAACAACAACAAAAAGCTTTGCCTTCAACAACTCTGAAAAGATGCATAAACAAGAACAAATTATGTTTCTTTCTCTGTTGATTCCTAATGCCAAAATTAATACTCTTTGGGTTTCTGTAAACATAATTATGCAAATATAGTCTAAGAATTCAGAAAATCTAATGTGGGCTACTCAGGCATAGCAAGTCAAAGGAGGCAAGGAGATTTCAGGGTGCAGTTTGACTTGATGGCAAGACTGTATTTTTTAAAAATTTGCTATAGGATGTACACGCTCACTAGGCAGAGAAGGAGAGAGAGAGAGAGAGAGAGAGAATCACCCCTCATTTTGGATGACCACACAATCCCTTCTCTGCCATCCTCCTCTCAGGATTTTGGGCATGCATACACATGCACCTGGCATGTTTCTCAAGCCTCAGGGTCCCCGACTTGAACTGCACAATTGGCCATGTGGGATCCAGACGACTCAACCACCATGCCAAGGCTGGCCCTGTTTTCTTTCTTTATAATATGACAAAGGAGTAGAAAAATAAGATTTTGCAGTTTAATAATTTTGGTGAAACTTGCTCATTGGTTCTGAGCTATTTCAAATAGAAGTGGTAATCAGTCAACAGAGGAATAACAAGAACTTTTTTATAAAGGGAGAAAAAAATATCTTTTTCAGTGGAAAACACCAAATATGCTTTTATACAGCCTGGATTCAATTATTAGCAAGTCTGAAGTTTTAGATTCTGGTTGCAAAAACTTTATAACCAAACAACATTTTGCCAAAATGCAACTAAGCTTCAAATGTCTTGGGAGTCAATGGGAGCTGTGAATTGGCTTCTAATTAAAGGCTGAAGAATTAAAAAGAAAGCAATGACTAAGCGAGACAGGCAGAGGCTCGTGGGCCAAATATTTTGTATTGTGAGGAAAACAATGGACACTTTTCAGTTTTACAGGTACAGATCCTCTTTCACAAAACTCATATTAAATTAGAGGTGCAAATGCTTGTTTGCAGCTGACCAGAAAATTTTAAACTCTTGAATGTAATATAAGATCTTCCAGGACCGAGAGTGCCTGTTAGAAATGAACTTTCTAGGGGCCGGCAAATGGTGTAGTGATTGGGATGCTGGACTCCCACGTGGCTAACTGTGGCTCCAGGCCTGGACCTGGCAGCTTGCTTTCTCACTTTCCCTCTCTCTCTTTCTGTATTTCTCTCTGCTCAGATTAAAATAAATAAATAAATAACAGTGAAATAAGAAAAGAAATGAACTTTCTAGGGGCCGGCAAATGGTGTGATGGTTGAAGTGCTTGGACTCCCACATGGCTAACTGTGGCTCCAGGCCTGGACCTGGCAGCTTGCTTTCTCACTTTCCCTCTCTCTCTTTCTGTATTTCTCTCTGCTCAGATTAAAATAAATAAATAAATAACAGTGAAATAAGAAAAGAAATGAACTTTCTAACTCCAAGAAAGGTCCTTTACAGATGTCTTTACTTGGCTGAAGCAAGCATCACACACATGCAAATCTTTTGTTACCATCACATTTACCTGGATGTGCATATGCCACCAACATGAAAGGTCTGCGTTGGGTAAGTCCTCATTGGTTAACTGAAAATATTCCATGTGAATGACACACATATTTGTATGTTAAAATTGTTTGATTGTTGAGGGCCAGCAGGTGGCGTGATGGTTTAGGCACTGGATTTCCACATGGCCAACCACGGTTTGAATCCCGGACTTGGTGGTTTGAAAATCACAAAGAAAAAATACATAAATCAATAAATGTTAAAATAAATAGATAATAGTTTTTGTTTGTTTGTTTTTTAATCCTTAGATTGTGGACCAGCAGGTAGCATTAAGGTTAAGGGACTGAATCCTGCATGGTCAACTTTGTGTCTGGGTTCCAGACCTGGCAGCTTGAAAATCATGTCAGGTTGGGGCTGGCAGGTGACATGGTGGTTAAGAAGGATGCTGGACTCCCACACGGTCAACCGCGTTTTGAGTCCCAGAACTGGGGGGCTTCCTCTTTC